CGAAGAACAGGAACGGCCCACATCCGAGAGAGAGATGGGGAAATTTGCCTCTTATTAAATTCAGAAAACATGGTAAGGGGACGTTCCTCACAATTAGTCCTTAATAAAACCTTATCTCAAATTAAAACAGCGGTGTATAAATTGACAGGCAGAAAAACCAATTATGTTAAAAATCTGGTTGCTCAGAGTTGTAGAAGGGTCTTCTTTGTAGTGAGAAATAATGTGTTGGGTCAGGTAGAGAGAGTAGGTAAACTGTGTGGGTACTTGCGTTCCTGAGTGAGACCGGGCGTGGCCGGCTGGACAAAAAGGAGTCCGGGGCTGAGTAGAGAGGAGGAGTTCAAGAGCCCATCTCAAGCCCATCCACAAAAACGGGAATCTACCTTGCTCAGGAAAGGTTAACAACTAAAAAAGGGACTAAGGAGTGAAAATTATTCATCATGTAATCTCTTTGTAATCAAGTGTAATCATTATTGTGCAATACCGCTGTTCCCCTGCAAAAGTAATCGATTAAAGCAAAGCAAAATGTAAAATTCTGGATTCTTATTTCAAACACCCCTTTTGTTCTTGGAAGTGGAAAACTTGGTTCAATGAAACGACAGAAACATGGGAGGTTTTAAACGATTTTATTAGCTTTTGATTATAAAACAACATCCATGAGCCTTGTGCCTAAGCTCTAAATAACGCCAGATCGATTAACAATTGTAACGCTAAATCAGGAGATGAGCTACCGTTAACTTGTCCAAAAAAGTTCAATCTGTTCCTCTGGACATTCAAAAAAACAAAAAACAAAACAAAGCAAAAAAATCTAGAAACGTTTTGTCTCTCATCCAAGAGACTTCCTCAGTCTGAGGTGCTGTTTTCAGCTCAGTCTCTTAAATAGCACCTTCACAGAGTGGATCAACCAGTTTGATGCTGACAACCAAAACCAGCTGATCACATGCTCAAGAAGGACCATCAGCCTAACAATGGGTCATTAGCACACTGATGGCTGTTTACTACTCACAGAGGGCTGAGTGATACTAGCAATCACAGCATTGTAAGAGGGGGACAGTTGAACCCGGAGGCCTCCACCCCTGTTTAATGATGGACGATTTCTTTTCACAAAGATGGCCTCCTTTACTCCTCTCTCAAACCATCATTCCTCTCTGTCCAGGATGTGAACATCTTGATCCTTGAAAGAGTGACCGCTGGCCTGGAGATGAGTGTAGACCGCAGAATCCTGGCCTGATGATGTTGATCTTCTGTGCTGGGCCATCCTTTTGGCCAGTGGCTGTTTAGTTTCCCTGATGTAAGACTGATCACAGCCCTCCTGACACTGAACAGCATACACAACATTACTCTGTTTGTGCTGGGGGACTGGATCTTTGGGATGAACCAGTTTTTGCCGTAATGTATTTTGGGGTTTAAAAGCCACTGGGACGTTATGTTTAGAAAATAAACGTCTCAGTTTCTCTGATACCCCCTCAACATACGGAATGACCACTGGTCTGGGTCTGGGTTCCTCCTTTTCACCTGATGGCTGACTG